CAAGAACCCAAAGTTGTATTTTGATTAAATACTTAAAGGCTTCCGCACCGTTTTGTGAACTCCGATGGATATTTAAATATCGTTTTGAATTAAATGTTTTTAAATTGTTTTGAAAATTATTGTGTCTGAATGCCAATCTAGTAGCAACCCGATCCGCTGGTCATTGTATTCGGGTCACGCGGGTTGGGGTGTTACAAAAACTCCCTACGAGCTATGGAATGGGAGAAAGCCAAATATATCATATTTCCATATTTTTGGAAGCAAGTGTTTTGTGTTGAACAACGGGAAGAACCCTCTGAACACTTTTGATGAGAAGTAAGATGAAGCCATCTTACTTGGATACTCTCTAGTTAGCAAGGCATTCAGAAGTTTCAACAAAAGAACCATGATCACTGAAGAGTCAATACACGTTGTCTTTGAGGAAAAACATGTGGTTGACAAGCCATCAAAGCATGATCGTGAGGTTCTGGATGTCTCAGACAAAGATGAAGAAGTACATGAAGGAGAAAGAATGAAGCCAACGGAGTTCATTCCATTCGGGAGTCTACCATTGAAGACGTCACAGAGAAGTCCGGATTCAAACTGCGCTCAGCCTACCGGAAATCATGGCCAGCCTTTCGAAATCCCAGATCTCTCACATGGCGACAATTCTTGAAATGGTGATCAGATGCCAACCCATCCATAGATACCAACAAACTCCATTCTTCAACTAGAAGTAGAGCTAGATCAGCCAGTCAACCCTAATCAACACAATCTTCGTTGGTTAAGGAATCACCCTCCACAACAAATTATTGGAGATATTCAATCAGGCGTTCGCACCCAGAGCGCTCAACAGAATCTAGAATCCATGCTTGCATGTTTCAACTCGCTAGTAGAACCAAAGAGCATTGAAGAAGATCTAGCTGATTCTTATTAGATCAATGCAATGCAAGAAGAACTCAACTAATTCACTAGAAATGATGTCTGGAAACTTGTTCCAAGACCTACTCATCAACATGTCATTGGGACAAAGTGGGTTTTCCGAAACAAGATGGATGAAAACGACATTGTTGTAAGAAACAATGTTCGGTTGGTAGCCAAAGGTTATTGACAAGAAAAAGGTATAGATTTTGATGAAACCTTCGCTCCAGTTTCTAGACTTGAAGATATAAGGCTATTTCTAGCCTTTGTTGCTCCCAAGGAATTCAAAGTCTATCAAATGGATGTAAAAAGTTCTTTCTTCAACAGAAACCTAGAGCAAGAAGTATATGTGGAACAACCTCTAGGATTTGAACTACACACTAAAGGTGATCAAGTATATAGACTCAAACAAGCCCTAAGAGCTTGGTATGATACATTGTCTCAATTCCTAATAGACAATGGATTCATCAATGGAATCCTTGGCAAAACCTTGTTCAAACTTCAAGATGGTGAAGATCTCCTATTGGTTCAAATCTATGTGGACGACATCATATTTGGCTCAACTAAGGAAGCTCTTTGCACCAAGTTTTCCACCCTCATGCAAGGAAAATTTGAGATGAGCATGATGGGGGAACTAAACTACTTCCTTGGTCTCAAAATCAAGAAGAGAAGTGAAGGAACTCTCATCAATCAAGCCAAATACACAAGGGATCTTATTAAGAAATTCAAAGTTGATCAGAAGTCATCTGTTTCTGTCCCCATGAGTACATCCACCAAACTTGACATGGATGTGGATGGAAAGGATGTTGATCAAACTCTGTACAGAGGAATAGTTGGATCTCTACTCTACCTCACTGCTAGCCGTCCGGATATCTCATATGCAGTAGGTGTTTGGGCTAGATTTTAGTCCAAGCCAAAGGAAAGTCGTGTATTTGCAGTGATAAGTCCGTTTTATACGCACTTATCTTCTCTATATTTAATGTGTTGTTGTCCAATTTTAGATCAAACAAATCAATTTCTAAATAGTTTTTATAAGTTTTAATTCATAATTGAAAAAGTATACAAAAGTTATGTCTTGTTTTAAAAACAATAAAAATTGAGTCAAAAGTTGTGCAAAAAAATGTAAAAGATTGTGCAAATGGAATGCAGCGGAGCAAAGGAGACAAAAGATGGTGAAAATCCATGAAGTGAAAAAATATATATTCAATTGTGGAGATACACCCCATCAAAAGATTTGAGGTCAAACAGATTGAAAATGTATCAAAAAGAAATTGTTTGAAACGAAAAAGTTAAAAAAGGTTGTTTTGATTCAAAATTAATTCGTTTGACCCAAATTGGTTCAGAATTTGAAGTCAGCACAGAAGGAAAAGTTGTTCAGAATAAAATTTTGAGCAAGACTGTATTTTTAGAAAAGGGAGAAAGACCAAATTAGGACTAAAACATTGAAAATATACTAAAATAGGACTTCCATGTTTTTATTCCCGAAATAGAACTTACATTACCAAACATGGTTATATACATTACCAAAAAAGTATAATAATTTGCACATGTACACTGCCACATTACCACAATGCAAAGTCACATTACCACAATGCATAGTCCTATTCCGAGAAAAAAAAATGAATGTCCTATTTTGGTACTTTTCTTTATGTTGTAGTCCTATTTAGGATGTTCTATTTAGAAAAAATGTTCGGACCAGATCAAAACCCCTCCAACCAGGCGCTGCCATGTGGCACGACCTGGCTGGCCGGCCAAGTGTAGCAGCAGCAAGTGGATGTCCTTCAGCCGCCATCATCATCAAATAAAAAAATAAAAGAACGAAGGCAAAACAACTAGCGCCTAAGGAAACAAAAAAAAAGTACTGCTCCATAATGCCATAATGGTTGATTTGCAAAATCAGTGTAAAAATCGGCGCCATCATGCGCACTAACTTTCGAGGCGTGTGCCTGGACTTAGGCCCACACCCGTCGAATGCCTGGATCGAAATTTTCTCTTATAAAAGGAGGGCTTTATCCCTTCATTCTAAAGGAAACCCCCTAAATAAGAGTAAAACATATATCTTATCTTCAAAATAGGAGCTTAAACTTAAACTCCTCTAAATAGGAGTAATTAATCATATTTTGTTTCAATTATTTCTAACCACATAAAGTTGCCCCATAGCCTCCCCCTTTCTCTCTCTCTTTCTTCGCACAATCACATTTACGTTCTTTCCCCTGTCGCCGTCGCCGGCAACCTTCACCGGCGTTGCTCTAGCTTTTACAGTGCCGCCCAACCTCCTTCTCTCTCTTTTCCATTCTCTCGCATAGCCCTGCGTCCCCACACCCCATCTGCCCAGATCTAAAGTGTGATCCACCATGCCCCTAGAGACAAATTTTATTATGCAAAGCTTGAACACCGTGGCTAAGTTTGTTTTGCTTTTATTTTAGCCAACTTTTTTCACTGACGTTGTGATAGAGAGTGTTTCTTCTCATTATGTTTTCTTTTTTACATTATATAGTTTCTTATTTGTTTTTATGTAGTGCAAAATTTTGCATTATTGGTTGTCATAATTGCCATTGCAGTTTTTTATATGATACAGTGTCATGTTTATCTTTATACAGCACGAAATTTTGCAGTATAAATTGTCTTCATTGGCGTTAAAGCATTTATTGTCATAATTGACATTGAATCTTAGATGGAATGTAAATAGGAGCTAAATTATTAAAATGGAGTAAGACACCACCTACTCCCCATTCCCAAATTCTTTCTCGATCCTACGAAATGCTTCATTCGCTCCACCCTGGTCCATTTCTGCCGCCCATCCCAATCCCACTATGTTACTCCCTCCGTCCACCTAAGTTCTTCTCGTTACGCGTTACGAGGCTTGACCGACTATATTTTCAATTCAATTTAATTGATTATAGGAGTAAAATTTTAAAATAAAATTTATACAGTAATAAACTACATGAAAAGTTCTACAAAAGTAGAGGTGACAAGACTATACTCCCTCCGTCCCACTCTCTTTGTCCACTTACCTTTTGGCACACCATCCAATGCACTTCTTTAATCCATTTTATCGTGTAATTTGTATATTAAAAAATTATAGAAATTATATATTAATAATCTATATGCTAAGACAAATCAAACAAGATCACACATGACTATATTTAGGCTTACACATTGAGAGAATTTGAATGGTCAAAGTGCTTAGATGAATAGTTCCAAAAGTCAAAAGTGTACAAAGAGAGTGGGACGGAGGTAGTATTATTTTACGAAATAACTAGTTAAAATGAGCAAACAAAGTGAGT